CCCACAAGCATCTTGGCTCAACGTAAAATCCTGAGACCCACTGAGAGCAACACTTGGTTCGACGCAATTCTCTGCCAAAATTGACTAGCCAACGTTGCAACATGATCTCTTGACTATCTATTTAAACCCACTGAAATCGCTTATATCACCCAATGTGGGACTCAAGGTTTAGGATGTCACATATGTCCTTACCTTAAACAAGTCATCTATTGGATATCAAAATTGGAGATGGCATGGTGACTAGAAAAGACAGTTAATCCCTGCTGGGCAGCTTATAAATTATAATACTAGTGATAGGTAAAAGAAAATAATTTTTGCTTTAGTTACGTCTTTATCAAAATTAATAGCTTTGTTGTCAAGTGATTATTGTTCATTGTAATTCATCAGAGCATGTCTCGATCAGAAGATCATCTGTTGTATATGCATCAGTTAAATCATTTGTCATTATACAATTATTAGTTAGACCTTTCCTATTGTGCAGACCACTACACAATTAAAATTCTCTTAAACAAATTTCATGTTTCACTTTTCTTGTCTGCTTTCCTCCATCATCCTATAATTATACAAAAAAATTGCTCAATTAATCATTCCGAGATTTTTATCATGTTAAAATTCTCTAAATAAATATATACCAGAACTTATACTACATTATCGAGCTTATCATGCATTCCTAATGACCTATCATGTACATGCAATCTGCTCGTAAGACATGAAGCATGAACTTAATGATCACTGTGGCATTGTTACTTACGGTTTGTTGCAAAGAATGTAAACTATACCTATTAGCAAGACTTTTTAATCGTCCATTTGGTAATGATTATTGAGACTTTTAGTTGTTATATTTTTGCATAATATTAAATTTTCCAATATCATGACGCAGGGGGTATTTGCTAGTTTAAGTACATAACTAAGAGAGGCAGACTGAATCACATTAAGTTACACTAGTTTAGACTTAACTTATGTAAGCAGACTGAACCATACAAGCGTTTGTAGGGTTGAGCTGATTGTGAGATGACAGTCCCATGTCTATCAAGTCCTGCTTGCATTTAAGCTCAATAAATTAGGATGCTACAGAAATTTCACCAAATCTTGTCCCTATAAAGCATGGGAATGGAAATGTTCAAATTAACCAAGGATCTATGATTGAAACGACAACTATTTTGGTTTTAAAATGTCTCCTCAAAAACTATGGCTCAGGAACAACCTTGAAACAGTTGAATCAGCCTTATCAATCAACTGTCGTGTGCTACAATACCAGTTTCAGCTTGCATTCGTCACGGCTCTTGGATAATAAACAAAGTTTATTATTTCTTGCTTCATGCTGCAGCAAGAGGTGGAGGTTGATGATATAGAACAATGTCTTATGATCCTTATATTTTGTAGAGAGAGCCTACAATGCTATGATAACAAGGACCACAAAAGTCACTGAAAAGATTAGACACCAAGGAAGAATCATCCTTAGCAATTCTGAACAAGGAATAGATAGAAGTCTATTTACTTTTTTACACTTGGAAGAAGGTTGATCAAATGCCCAAACTTAGAGTCTACTTAGAATACGTTGAGACCCTAACAACTAAAACCAAAACCTTAATAAAAAAACTTCACTTGGAGAATGAAACATTATATATTGTGAAATAGTTTGGTCGGGGAAAGGGCCAATTTATCCTTCCTTGCAACCTTGAGATAGCACTCCGTAAAAAAAGGACAGATTCAGAAATAAAAAAGGGCAATACACTATAAGGTTCATGAACTTTCTTGCTAAAAACGAGCATGTATATAAATAACAAAAGAAAATGACTACACAATTAGCTAAAATTTATTGATGTTTAGGTACCAAGATTTTAAATGTCGGATGTCAGGTTCATGTCGGACGGCTGAAATCCATGTCGGATAGCGAAAATCGGGGATACATCGGGGGACATAGACTAAATATCGGATTGCCATATCGGGTGGTGCGCGTATGTATAATATCATGTCCTAAATGTAATCTAAGTATTCCTAAATTCAATATAAGCATACTTTATAAATTCTAGAGGCGCCGGCGATGGGTTGATTTCGACGTTGCAGGGAGGCAGTGCCGACGACGACGGGACGTCGCAGGGAGGCAGTGCCGAAGCTATTCTGCTGGCGATGGGTTGATTTCGACGTTGCAGGGAGGCAGTGCCGACGACGACGGGACGTCGCAGGGAGGCAGTGCCGAAGCTATTCTTCTTCTTCTTTGTCTGCTCAGGATCCTTCGGATGAGTCACCGACCACCCTCTTCTCTTTATCCCGACGACGGGATACCCTGTCGTCCTCAAGTTCGGTTAGGATTCGGATTTCGGGGCGCAAGGGGAGATTGACGACGGGGGACCGAGATGGAGGTGGGGGGAGGACATCGTCGTTTACAAAAGGAGTGATGGGTTTCCAAGTCCGCTGCAGCCCTAATTTTTCTCTTTTCTTTCTATCAGCTTCATAAGAAACCGTTAAACATGAGAACGAGTCAAACGGGTTTGGGTTTTTATCACTAAACTCAAACCCGATAACAAAAAAATAGATCTAAAAAAATGGTCATATCGGCCTTTTTTTCAAAGATGAAAAATCGGTCGATATGCACGATATGGCCCCGATATTTCCGATTTGGCCCTAAAAACCGACATACGAGTTGAAAACGCCCATGTCGTGTCGTTCAACACGCCCCTTAACCGAATTCGCCATGTTGGCGGAAGTTTATTGTCGCTGCCAATACTGTGCCTCGTGAACATGCAGATCAAGCAACAGTGTCTTTAATGAGAGTTAACTATCACCCTACCCATCTTTCCCATCCCCCAAAAAGAGAAAAAGAAAAAAAAATTAAAACAACCGCCACTACTGAGCACACCAATCTGCCCATTTGATCACACAAAGATGCCGCTAATTTTACTGAAACCATAGGCAAAGACTAAACTTAAGGTATTGCCCCCACCCACTGCGACAACCGCTACAAAACCAAACATCGGTAGTTTTTCTCCAGTGAGCGGTAATTGTATACGTGTGCGTTTACCTCTACATGTATATATTAGTTTAATTTTTCATTAAATAAAAGTTTTCAACCAATATATCCTCTTCCGCTTCCTCGTAGTTGCTATCCATGCTATCTTCTCATCCTCCTCTAGCTATTATTGTTGTTGCTCCTCCAATCTTTCTCTACCACTGCCAATATGGTATGTTATAAACAAAAGCAGAACCACTACTATCTAGAGTCTTTTAATACACTGGTCACTGAGCTACCAACATAGAGCACTTGAACATAGGCAACATTAAGAGTGGCATTCTTTATGAAATACAGTTATCAAAAGAAGACATTCCTTATGAAATAGTTGGCGGTGAATAATGTCTATCCATCATCAACAGGAAACACCATCAAGGTTTATGACATGCTCGAATACAAGGGAAACATAGGAAGGTTCCACGGATCTGATAACCAGTTGCAATTTCTTAGATCCTCATCCTAATGACAAGAAATTCATTTGTAGGTGGCCAATAATACGCAAATTTTCATTATGTAAGTACAAAGTCGATCACGTTAATATGTTTGTGTTTGATGAAACAAAATACTCAAGAGGGTAACTAACATTTTGAATTAGAGAGGATTGCTATTCCACTTTTCTTTTGCATAAATTTTTTGCACAAATCTTATGTAGTTTCTTAAATCATCTTCCATTCTTCTAATGGCATTAGATTTATTTGTATGTATTTGGTAATACCCAAGTTCTAATTATGCACATAGAACACATTGGTGTCTATGGTTACATAAAGTGCTAAGCGGCCTAGGCGTTGGACCCGATGCCTAGAGACTAGGCGCCTAGGCGGTTTTCTTATTTTATATTTTTTAATTATAATAATTGAATAAATCCCAATGTTATCGAAAGCTTAGGCGTCAAACTGTTGCCTAGGCGGATTTCTTTCATTGTTTAAATGGTGGTGGAGGAGATTTTTCTCAAGGTTGGATGAGGTAGAGAAGGTGTTCATAGTTAAAGACTGAAGGAGTTTGGAGTAGATTGGAGGACGCGGAGGCTGCAATAGAGAAAATCACGATCAATGCCAAAAGGGTACCGTCCACGTAAGCAAATCATACTCCCCTAGGTACCCCCAAAACTTAGGTGGGCAGCCTAGGTGCCGGTTAGGCCTAAGCGTATGCCTAGGTGGGCCATGGGGAAGCTTTATAGAACAATATCAGTGACTGCTAAAATAAAACACTTAAGAAGGGAATTGGAGCTAGAGTTAAAAATCAAGGTTTGAATTAGTATAAGAACATTACTATTCTATTTTACCAGAATATTTTCTTTTTGTTTCTTACTTTCTTTTCTTTTCTTTTAATTCTGCCCATGAGCGGTGGATAAAAGGTCATTCCAGTTCAAACTGCACAAGTTAGTTCCTCCCTTGGCTGTTATATTGCTTCTTGTTCCCATATTCTTACCTGCTCATTATGAAATATGTGGCTATCCATGAAAAAGGTTGTGGAAACCCATCTAGGCTAGACCTCGGGAAACACAGCTTTTCTCCTATAAAAATTATAGGGTTGCCAATGGATCATGGTGCATACCTAGAGATAACAAGTCCATCTACCTTGTAGTAGATATAAGTACAGGCTTGCATCCTGTTGTACTTGATGCATAAAAACACCATGGTAAAGGGTACACTTAATTTGTTAGCTGTCATTAATGTATTACTTTTATCAAAGTTCTAAACCAATTTTTGTTATAGCCATAAAGGTAAAATAAAACGATTTCAAGTTAATTCATAAGTGCATAACACAGTGCTCAAGCAGTTTTTTGTGATATTAGTCGACCGCACACCATCAATACGCAATCATAGGCATCGAGGAAACTGCTACATTACTTTTGTCAAATTTCTTCAACATAAGCAATTAACAAAGTGTAATAAAAGGCTATCATACAACATAAAAGAATCACATTAAGCGGCATAAGCATAAAAAAGCGTGAAATAAACCAACAATTAAGTATAAAAAAGACATGTACCTTCCTTTTGTTGCATATGCATCGGCAAGGGATTAACCAGCATCGATGGAGTCCTCTTGTGGTAGCCCGGAACATCTAGCAAAGATGTTACATGCAGTTCCAACCACCCACAAAGCTTGATCAGGCTTACCGACCTCCAAATAAGGCAGTTCAAAATGTTTACTAACTCTAACCCACAATGCATTTGCCTAAAGCTAATCCTTAACCCTGCTCTCCCCTTTCCTAGCTTGGGTGCACGAGCCTCTTGCCATGGACACAAATGCAAAATCCCACATCTTTCTTTCCTTCTCCAGTATCTAAATCAAATTCTTTCATTATTACAGTTGCTTCACCGGGCCTCCCCACTGAAATCCTTATATGCGTTGTTTCTAGGTCCAAATCTAACATTTCAGAATCCGATATATAAACTTCTTAATTCCTTGCATTCTATTCCAATGCCTTGTCATTCTCATTAAATCCAATATAAACGAGCGAAGAAGTTTCCTGACCGTAGCAACCTCAATCGAATCAAGGCTATAATGTTAATTCAAATTAATATCTCCAATTCTTTCCAACACAATGGCAATACCTCTCTTGAAATCAGAATCAACTGCATACGCTACTGTCAAACGCTGATACACAGCAACTTCTGCATTAATAGGCTTGAGCAATAGACCTCCTCAATTCCAAAAGCTAGAGTGATCCAAGCGCCCCATATAAGAATTCGCTCGTACCAGCCAAAAGTTGTACCCCGAGGAGAACAATTTTAAATTGAGAATCACTGAAACCCTCCTTCTCGAATCGATCAAGAATCGCTACCGCTGACTCCAAGCTATCATGAAGCCTGCAACTGATCAAGATCGGCAAGCGAAGTGCTCTCGCCACGGAAATTGACCGGCTTTAATCTCTTTCAAAGATCCCCAAAGCGTTGGCACTAACATCTACGGCTTTTACAAGAGATTTGGGGGGGGGGAGGCTAAAGAATCGACTTTCAAAGAGGAATCAGAGGATCTGAAAGCCGCCAAAACGTCCCCTATGGTGTTCAGTGACGAACAGAGAGAGGAGGGGCATTTTGAGAAATGTTTTGGATGTGGCGGCGGAGGAGGAAGGGCATTTCGGGAAGGGTTTTGGGGGAGTTTTATGGGGATGGAGTTGAGGGTAAGCGAATGCAAGCGTATTTAGGGAAGAGATTTTTAGTTTGGTGAAGTGAGAGAGGGGAGAAGACGAGGGTCTTCTCATGCCGGAGCAAGAGGGGACTCGTGGGGGGGTATTGTGGGAAGAGTCGGAGGAGGACTTTCAACGAGCTAAACCCTGAATAAACCCACAGCGGTTGATCGTGGGGGGGCCCTTGATGATGAGCATCGATGACCGTGGGATGGTAGTTGGAGAGCATGGGGAGATGGTTGACGATGAGTTTTTTTGAAGTTTTCTCTCTGAATTTTCTTTATTATTTTGCGCTAAAAAACTATAGTAATTTTAATTTAGGGATTTTTGCATATATACCCTTTTCTTTTTTTATTTGCAGATTTACTCCACAAATCTCGATATTTGAAAAATTAGACTCTATTTTTCTCACGGTGGATTTTTCTACTCCTTTTGCATTGCGGTATTTGGTTTTTAAATGGAACAGTGTTTAAAAAATTCAAATTTCCAACAAGATTGTAATATTTTCTTGTTTATAAACCAAAGCTCTCGAGCAAGAGGGCTGGAAAAGCTGAACGTAAGAGAATTGGAGGGCACGTTTGCAAATATTAAGATGGTTGAGGATATATATGTTGGGTATCAACTCAAACTCCAAGTTAGTATAGTGTTTTTAATTTTTTGTATAACTTTATGAGAATTAGATAGGGTTAGAGATCTATCATGATTAGAAGTTTGGGTTCCATCGTGATTAGGAGTTTGAATCTTATTCTAATTAGGAAGTTAGGCTAGAGATAGGATTTTGGTTTCCCTATATATGATTTTGGTTTCCTTATATATGTCCTTCTATTGTTAGAGGAAAAACTAAGAAGAAGCAGATGTGTAGAGAGAAAGAGAGAGAGTGTTTGGCAGTCTTTGTTTGTGCAAAAGATTATAATTTAGAGGTGATAGTGGATTGATTTTGATTCCGTAGTTTTTCCCTGTTGAGGGTTTTCCACATTAAATCTTTGTGAATGTTTTTTCTGTGTTTGGTGGTTTTTCGGGGTTTTTACAAGATCTAAAAATGCCCTACAAGTGGTATCAGAGTGGGGTTCAACGTAGAGGTTTGATCAGTGCGCGATTCGCGAAGGCGTCAGCGGTCGAAGCGCGGAGGTCGACATCGAGAAAAGAAAAAAGGGTTACTGTAGCGACGACAGAATACTGTAGTGGGTACTGGTCACGCAGATCCGATGGTTGAGGTTGATTTGTCTTTTGATCGAGGACTTGGAGGTGGATTTTGGTGATCCAGGAGTCGTTCCTAGGATTTTTCGACGTACTGAGTTCGTTTTTTATGTTGGTTTTATCAAATTCAATCTCTACAGTGACTGATTTGAATTTTGATTGCGGTTAGAGGATGATGACTTCTTCGGGTCCGAAGTTTGATATTTCGCTATTCAAAAGCGAGACAAATTTTGTAGTATGACAGTGCACGGTTCAAGATATTCTTATGCAGCAGGGTGTTGATCAAACTTTAGAGGATAAGAAACCTGAATGATTGAAGGATGTTTAATAGAGTTCTATGCAAAAGAGGGCAGTTAGCACAATTCATTTGGCACTCGTCCCCGAGATCAAGTACAATGTTATACAAGAGACCACACCAAGAGGGCTGTGGGAAAGGCTCGAGGGGATTTATGCGTCGAAGTCGATGACCAACTAATTGTGTTTGAAGATGGAGCTTTATTCGTTGAAGATGGAAGAAAGTACTGCAATTCAAGACCACATTAATGCCTTTAATCAGCTAGTTTGCCAACTTATAAATCTTGATGAGGAGATTAAAGAAGAAGAGCAGACGCTACTCCTATTGTCTTCCTTACCGAAGTCGTATAAGCCGTTAGTTCAGACGATAATTATAGGGAAGCAGACTTTGAAGTTCGACGATGTGACAGCACTCCTACGTGAGAATGAAAGAATGATGGGAAAGGAGAGCACATCTACTGGTGGTGAGAGTGCACTAGCTTTAGAAGGTTCTAATCGATGGAGGAGTACGGAAAGATGTGACAGTTATTGAGGAAGGTCAAAATCTAGGGCCCGAGACGACAGCGAAAAGGAGTGTTATTATTGCGGAGAGAATGGTCACATTCAGTTCAGATGTTCTCGGATGCGTGATGATTTAAAGAGTATTAGACAGATAAAGCTTCAAGAAAATGGGAAGAAGGCGGACTCCTCGGTGGTTGTGTGTGATGAAGATGTGGTTTTATTGATATAGAGTACAGGTACTGATGTGAGTAATACTTGGGTGTTAGATTCTGCAGCCTCTATGCACGTTTGCAACAACAAAAATTATTTTAACACATTGAAGACAGATGAAGAATTTAACGACGTGATTGTTGGAAACAACGAGTGTCACACACCGCTTTCCAAAATACAAGTATCAGTCAAACATAGCATAATAGTCAAGAAGTCATAAAATAGTTGATACGTATCAAGTTATAAAACAACACAACATCTAGGCACAAACAAAAATATAAGTATCAGTCAAACATAGCATAATAGTAAAGAAGTCAACAACAAATATACAATCATAGAAAAATATAATATCAACATGATATTATTTATATAGTATCATAAGACAACATATCACAGTATTAAAATATAATCAATAACACAAAATTGACAAAATATATAACAAATATATAGCATAAAAAATATGATATGGAATATAAATACATAATTCAAACAATTATCAATCACTAGAATATATGATAAAGCATATCAACTCAATAATATAAGTAATTAAAAGAAGAACATAAAGAAGATAAAAGATAAAAAAGTCTCAACAAAGTATTATATGATAAAATAGACGTAAGAATAAACAAGTGATTCAAACTAAACATATTATATAAAACATAGTAAAAATAACATAATTATATATATTCGACAAACAATATGATAAATCAGAAGTATATTAGTAATATTCGTAAAGTAAAATAATAAATATAAACAAGATACAACAATAATAGTTATTACTGTATAAAATTAATTCATATGTAGCAATGTATTGCATATTAGTCAAAATCACATAAATACAATCAACATAAATTTGTATAAAAACGTAGATATATTTTAGATAAACATGTCATGAATGATTGATGGTATATGAACATAAACACTGATAATACATGAAACATAATGTGATTAGACGAAGTTGATACTAGAATGATGAATGACCATAAATCAATAAAAATACACATCATAAATATAATAATATATGTGAATATACATCATAAATATAATAACATAGAGAACAGTGTCATATAAGTCAGCTAAAATGTAAGAAATGAACAAACCAAATTTAATTAACTAACAGTTAATAATATTTGTAAAATCAAGGCAACCATTTTTAAAATGATCAAATAAGTATAGTAATATACACAAAACACACAATCAATATAATTATATTAAAAATACAATCACCAAAGAATCCACACACAAACAGAAATACACTCCAAGGGTAAGAGTAAGAGAAAAATAAAATATAAACAATAGTAAAATCAATAAAAAAATAGTAATACAAAGAACACATTACAGCAAAAAGAAGTATATGCTTGAATATCAAAATATCAATACATTGTCCTTAGAAATAACGAACCAATGTGAACAAACTAAAACAACCTAACAAGACAAAACTGACTGATAAGATAACTATGTACTGGAAATGTTATGAGTTGAATAAAGAAAGAATAAGAATGTAATGCATATGTAGAATATTAAAATCATGAACTTATTAATGTATATCACTAAAAATAGAATATTAAAATCATGAACTTATTAATGTATATCACTAAAAATACGAACAATATACAATAATCTAAAACATAAGTTAATGTATATCACTAAAAATACGAACAATATACAATAATCTAAAACATAAGTAAATAATAGATTGTATATCAGAAAAGCGCGCACACACACAATGTAGATATGCAAAAGATATATTTAAATACAAGAAAATAATCTAATATCAAATATGCTATGTGATATATATGTGGAGTCTAGAGCAATGCGAAACACTTAATGACATGATTTGAACAATTAAAATATATAAGTAATGATATATATTTTTAATGAAAAACATATAATATAACACTATGTGTGATATATAAAACAATATAATAAATAATGTAGAAATCAATACAATCAAACGATATATAAGTCAAATATAAAAAACATAGTGGTAAAAATAATAACATATAAAATAATGACCGGTACGAGAAAAGAGAAGTTATACAAAGAGAGTGTAGTCGTGAAGCGACGAGACAAGAACAGTGGGAAGCCCCGAAGTCAAAAAGTGATAAGATAGGGACTACGATATAATTTATCGAGATGATAGGATAATGACTAACTATAGTCTTACGGATGAAATATGATATGCGTCTAAATTATCCATTATATTCTCACTGGTAGGAACTCGGGACCGGGACCTGCATGAACCACCAAAATAACCTGTCACGCCCCGCTTCCCAAAATACCGGGGAATCGGTATGTGAATGTGACGCCCCTGTTTTCATATATGGCTGCAGTCCAAGGTGAACCGAGAGATGTCAAACATGTCATGCACCCACACTGTGCAACAACACGTTTCACCATCACAGTAATATCTCTCTAGTGGAATTAAGTAAAAGTGCAGGTACAAATCAGGCAAAATAAGAAAAATAAATACAATAGACATGATGTAGAACGAAATATCTCATAAATATAATCATGTCTCAAATGAATAAATTAGAATACATTTGATACCTGAAAATAACTGTGAAATATCTCAATATGAGTCAACTGAAAATAGTATTGAGGCACACTGTCTTTACAAAATGGAATACAAAACTCTAATGTCTGAAATAAAACATAAAACTACAGTGGAGTCTCAACTACTAAAACTATGTGACAGCGACTATGCTGGAAATCCGTCATCCTGCAGCTCTACGAAACTCTGAGCTGCTACCTGAAAGGAAGTTAAAATAAAAAGAGAAATACAACAAGAGCGTCAGAGCGCTACATCAAGTTCACATCCATCCGCCCTCAGGGGAAGGGCTGCTAGATGTAGTGGAGGCTCTATCTATTAAGCATAGTCTACCTAGATCATTTTTCCCAT